GTAATCTTACCTTCGGGAACGTAAATCCCAGCTTCTGGGCGAGACGCGAGCCCTCTCTCCACTCACCACCTCCGAGCTTAGCCCCCGACTTACTGTACCAGTTACCAGGGCTTCCCATGATCTCACAAACACGCCAGACCTGGTCGACTTCGTTTCCACCAGGGAACAGTGGCTTCAGGGTAGCAATCTCGACCGCCATGGCGCCGACAGCCCACATGTCCACCGGTGCTGAGTACTCTCCTGCACGCAGGAGAACTTCAGGCGCCCGATACCATCTGGTAGAGACATATGTCGTGTAGGGGAGCTTGGAGTGAGTCTCTCTTGCGAGACCAAAGTCGGCGATCTTCACAGTATATGTCGGGGGAGTAGAAGGAGGGGTGACGAGGTTAGAGTAACGGCTGAAAGCAGAGTCGTTAGGGGCGGATGTTGAGACGAGGATGTTTTCGGGTTTGATGTCGCGATGGAAGAAGTGATGGGCATGGATATGGTCGAGGCCCCCCAAGATCTGGAAAAGGATGCTCTTGACATGCTTGCCATCGAGGGGCTTGTGATCCCGGGCTTTCATTAATTGGTAAAGGTTGCCATCCATATACTCCATGCAGATGTGCAGTTTGCGTGAGAGCGGGTCGAGGAAGATATCGAGGGCTGGAACAAGGTGGGGATGGGGAGGCAGGGATCGCAGGAAGATGACTTCACGGAGTTCGAGGCAGGGAGCCAATGACTCGAAGGTCTTCTTCATCGTCTTGATGGCAACCTAGGAACAGGAATTAGCAACCCCAGCGAAGAAGAGCGTCAAGAGGGCTCGCGATAACATACCATCGTCCCCCTCCGTGCAACATTGGAACCAGCAGTCCGCACACGTGCGACTGCCACGCTACCAAAGCTGCCATCACCCACTTCCTTGAGGACCTCGAACCTGTCTTCGAGGCTGGCGACTGAAGTGGGCGCAGCGCCCCGTGATAAGGAGTGGTGGTCGTAGCAGACAGTCATTGTGTCTCTTTCTCCCTTCTCTTCTCTGCCAGCAGAAAATCCAAGAGAACTTTGTGCGGCGTTGAGGGGCCTGAATTAAGAGGTAAGGAATGTGTAGAGGAAGTACACGGCTCTTCCAGTTTGAGTGTCGGGAATGTCGATAGATAGGATCAGGTGCGCATCATTCGCAGTCAGGCAATGTGATATCCACGGGGAGTGTTGTGGTGCTTTCCCATGGGTAGGTATGGGTGAAGGTGCAGGATGCGATAAGGATTAGGTGCAGAAGAGAGTCGGGACGAAATTGGGACCCAGAGAAGAGGGGAAAGGGGTAGTCATGTAGTTCTCAGGAAAGAAGCGAAGGTGGAGGAGAGGGAAGATCTGGAAACCAGATGGAAGACCCAGAGGATTGGACGTGATCACTGTAGTGATAGGAGCGGATCCGGATGGGTGGACACAGACTAAACGAAAGGATGATCGGAGGCCGCCTTGGACAGAGAGGGGAGGGGGGTTGTTGTGGTGGTGGTGGTGGGAGGGAGAAGGAAAAGAGTAGTTAGTACGGAGTAGGAAAGGGAATAACTCGACAAGCCCCTGACGCGGTGACAGCTTTAGCCTTTACCAGCTCTAAGACGAAGAGGAGAAGTTGGGTCCGGGCCGTGGGGACTGAAGAGGCGGTCGACGACGAAGCGGGTTTGGTGAAAAAGGCGATGGTGCAGATCCGAAATAAAATAATATAAATTATAAAAATAATAATTATGCTTCCAAAGGATAAAATGATGCAGGTGGGTTTTTATTTTTTTTATTGAGGGGTTAAAAAAGGACTGAACCGGAGGGACGGCCAGTGGATGACATGGACCCAAAGGGTCGAATTGTTTTTTCCTTTGGGAATTGACGGCAGATGCACGACAGAGAGAATGTGATGATCATGCAGAGTTCTTGTTGTTGTGGTTCTCCATTCGAGGTTGGGGGAACGACGGCGAAGGGGGAGGGGGGAAGGGTGGGCGAGTGGCAGAAAGAAGGCAACAATTGAGGTGTTAATATGAGGGCCGAACGGTGACGCGAGTGGTCCAGCGAGAAAGAGACGCGAAAGAAAGGCCGGAGAGGCAAGCCTAGAGAGGCAAGATTACCTAGTAATTCAAACAGGACCTCAACTTGAGTCTGAACTACTACCCAGTTCACTTGCTTCTAACTACTTTCTAACTAAACCCAAGCTACCAAGCGCCTAGTAATATTAACCCTCCCTGGCCATTCGCTCCAGTCTCCGTCTTAGCCCGGCCGCTAAGGTATCCGCGCGAAATCGGACTCCGTAATCGTCCTTGGGAAAAAGAGAGAGTCATTCATTCATTCATACCGACTGAATTCGTATTATTACTTAGCTACTAATAATAATACCCATGAATAATGTGGTCAACGCCATACCATGCTGCGTTTAGCGGACTTTTCCTCCACCGGACTAGTCCCGACCACTTGGTCGCTGAGAGAGGAATGGTCGAGGAACGGAGACCCACCCTTTTCACCCAAGGAATCCGAAAAGGAGGTTCAGGGAGTTTCCCAACTTACCATACACGGGCGGCCCAAAGAAGGGGGGGGAAAGGAACCCTCGAAGGCGGCACCTGGCGGTTCGGGTTCATGGTACATTGCCGAAAAGGTCAAGACGAAAACATGGAAATGCACGACAACTACTATCCCCGCGGCTAAGATGGGGAAATCTTGGGACAACGATCGTTTGGAACATGCTTGCGGAGTCCGTATAGTCAGTAGAGAGCAGTGATGAGGAAATACCCAGTTCTGAAGTCTACACCTTTGGGAGGAGCAGGAAAGAGAAAGGAATAGATCCGTCGTTCTATCGAATTCCCCCAACTCAAAGAAGGAAAGAGACGAAAAAAATAGGTGATTACTTTTTTGCCTTTCCCCTCAGATTGACTGTTCGTTAGGGTAGGTTTCGGTGTTTACGGTTTGTTTGTTTTGAAGAGTCCCTGGTCCACGAAGAATGCCGTAAATTACTGTCTTCCAATTACCGACATTTCGAACGGAAAGTCCCATGAATTCCACGAATGATTCTCACAGCTTTTGAGCTGAGTATTGCTTGCTGGCTACCTTAAGCAGAGTCAGTATTTTGTGTAGGGCAGCTTGATCACTTGCCCATGAAGCGAGTTCTCTTATGTTGGAGTATTGGACACAGCAATTTTGATCAGTGTGATCCGTAGTAGTGTTTCCAACCAATCGCCTCCATCCAGATGTATCTTCCGAGGTACTTTGCCTGTGTTGACTAGGTGATGATAGTGAATCACAGTGTCTCTCCCGTTCAGACGGAGACTACTAGTACTACAGACCAGTTGTGTCATATCTTTACATTACATCTGAATCGGGACACACCCCCGATCCTTTCTTAAGAGTTGTCATTCTTGACTATATCGAAATTATGTGGCGCAACTGTCGTCGTTTGAGCCCATGCCGGGGCAAATGAGATTCATCGCGAGGTGAAAGGATCTAACAAAGTTCGGTCTAAGATGAGGTGTAGAAAACAGTTTAGACTGTTCAAGAAATCCCGTCTTGGAGATTTGGAGGAAGAGCAGACTTTCTCACTTTCAAAGAGATTGAAATGAAAAACGGCCTGGGAGGAGCCTTAGGTACTTCATGCGACCAGTCATCATCACACGTCGCTTTGAAGACTCTGGACTCTGGCGAGGTCCAGCCTTAATCGACTCCACTTGGTCTCCGCCTCTAGTAATCGTTAGACGGGCGCTAGCAAGGTTGGCCAGGGGTTGGGCCGCGTCTCTCTTGCTTCAACCTGGGTTGCAACCTTTTCCCAGAGTGATGCGACTTGCTGCTCGGCCATCCCACTCAGGGTCTCGGATAATCATGACACTCTAGACTCTCTAGCGAATGTGACAGGTAGTGCTCCCTACACCCTAAACCGTGACGGTTGTACGGGGGTTTCGCCTCGTATAATCCATCATTCAGGGGTCGCATGTGATACCCGCATTACCTCATCTACAGCATCACCCCAGAGGGTGAAAAGAGGAAAAAAAGAAGAAAAGAAAAAAAGACGAGCTGCATCAAAACCCAGATTTGAGTTAAGATTACGGCGCAGGCTATCCTTGCCGATAATATATGAGCGTAAAATAGCTTGCCAGCCGAGGAATCATAACTCACTACTAATGCCTGTTCTGGGGCTTTGTTAGTCTACTAGTTAAGTAAGTAGCTCAAAGTTGCTAGTTGCTGACTTCCGAATTGGATAGAGAGAGGTCAGCCGGGGGATCCACAGGACAAGGAAAAGAGAAGATACTCCAGGCAGTGGGCAGTTTTACAGTTCATGCACGTTGTTATCTGGATCCATTATTATTGATAGTCCATCTGTTGTCTTGAACAATGGATCCAGCCAACAGTGGCTGGACATGTATCCATCCCCCGTACATCCGTCGCCTGCCTGCCCCCCTCCCCCTCTTCATTATGCTTAGGTGGCTGACCGCCAGCATGGCAACACTTACAGTAAGTTAGTTGGAATACCCACAGGCTGCAACGACTGATCTTCAAATCGAGCCTGGAAACTGTTTTGCCATCTGCCGGTACTAATTCGATAGAGATGTGGCTTGCATGTCTGCCCCTCCGGGTATGCTGGTCCCGTCTTTCTTGGGTAATCTACATGTGTAACACTTTTCCGAGGGTTGAAACGGTAAGGATTGCTTGGTCGAAAGTTGATAGATTCATCAACAGCGGGAGATGGGCGAAGGAAAAGCGTCGCTGTTTCATCGATACTATTGGTGCTTCAGCTGACAGACAGAAAGAAAGGATGACAAAAGGAAAGAAGAAAGAGAAAAAATTTTTCGTAGTAGTGTGAGAGAAAGTACTGTTACCCGGAAAAAGAAGGAACAACAGTAAGACGCCGTACTACCATGTCCGAGGGAAAGGCAGGATGCCTTGTTCCAATCATCCACAGAGGTCTCCGCTACCCGCGCTTGACGTCTAGTACAAGGTTCAAGACAATTCCTGGTGCTCTAAGAAAATAACTCAGCTCCATGGCAATCAACATATATGAGACGGATTCTGAGTCCTATGTTTCTGAATGTTACGCGTTGCCACATTCTGGAGCTGAGGGTTGTCTCGAACTATCGGGTCAGTATGGATATGTCTTCGGAGTACTATGGACCGCATACTCCGTGCGCTGAATCAAGTAGAAGCTCCAACTATCTAAGCCATCAAAGTCCCCAAAGATTTGCATTGTGCTTAGAGCGCTATATTTCACTGAGGGGCTACCCCATAGGGATAGAGGGCGATGCTGCTCTCAGCGGTACTTCCTTACGAACTGATGCATACATTATGCACATGTATGGCTGATGCTGAATCCTTCTGGATGTATAGACTTCATACATCAAGCGAAGTTGATCAGCTGTAGCTAAGCCTGTGCATCTGCGAGATCAGATCCAGGACACAGACTGGCGCACTGTCGAAAGTACGGGGCACATTAAGTACGCAACACGGCCATTACTTGTGTAGGACAGCTGTTACCACAGTTACCATTTCCTATATTTCTTTTTTTTTTTTTAAAAAAAAAAAAAAAAAAAAGAGTTTCAGTTCGCCACTGGATACACCAATTCTTGAGACGAGGGAACCGCAGATAGACTCATTTACCAGGCCTTTTCCATTTTACCCTTGCAATGTGGGGTGATCATAGCCGATCTTATGATAAGATGTCATCGCTGGATACTTTGATGACGGAGAGGATCATCAACCCTCACAGACGGCATTAGTAGGCGGGCATAATAGCCAAACTTTGAACCGGGAATGCTTCAATGCACTGCATACTCAAAGCAGCATGGATAGTGGATTCATTGGCGTGATCATTTTCCATACACAGTAGTACTGTTATGCACGGAGTAGGGTGTCCTTCTTGATAGGAAGATTTGGGGATTCCCTTCCTGTCACGGTGGCGGGTGATGGGTCATGGACGGAGAAGCCATGTCTTGAAGTTGGTCAAGTCTGGAGCCGAGACGCGTATGATCAGCTACACCGCACCTACGAACTGTGTACTTACTGTTTACACTCGTTATTACTTAGGATCCGGTTTTGATGACAGGCCATACAGATGCCAAAAAAGGGGTCTAGAGATGGATTGGTCACCGCTTGTGTCACTTGACCGGTGACAGGCTTCAATAAACCACTCGGTGGGAACGGCGAAGAATGGAGACTGTCAGTCACCGTCTTTTTGAGGTCCATAGCAGTATCCTCTTTCCTCTTCTTTGGTGTTCTTCTCGTTTCTTCTTTTCCATTCATGAATGATGAGAGGAGGGGAAGAGATGTATGCTCTGGGGAGAAAGAAGAAAACATTGAGGGGTTTGTGTTCTCCATACACAGTAAATGAGGACTGTGCGATGCTGTGGTGGGCCAACCAACCAACCACTCGAGAAAATCACGACTCGTAATCTTGCCGGCATGACATCTGCTTCCCCCCCATTAATGGTCTTTGCTCTTCTTGCCACGGAGTGTCTTCCTACCGCTACCTGGGCTACGCGAATTCTGTTTATTTACTTCTCCTTCTGTTTTAATGTTTCCTGGGGTGGCATCATGCCATTTGGGCTGTGAATTTACATAATCACGTTTTGTCCACAATAATCGCGGCTGTTCTTCCAATAGAGAGAAGGCTACCCGACATTAGTCCAAAGTGACAACCACCGACCACAACAACTAACAACTACAAAGACAGAGAAAAAGTTCGTGCGTGGGATTTGAAAAGAGGGGGGAAAGCCAATGATTGCAAATTTCTTGGAAAGTTTCGGGCACCAGCGCAGAAAGGGAAGGGTGGGTGACTGGTACCGGAGTCCTAGACGACTGGTTGATGGGCCTCCACCCCCTAAACGGATAGATCAGAGGGTCGGAAGACGTGGTTCTCATGGAACCAACGGGTTTAGTCGACCGCCGGCCGTCTGAGTTACCAGCCAAGGGTGATTGGGAAGACCCAACAGTGGAGCCGCTTCATCCGAATGAGTGGATGAAAGGCATTTCGCAAGCGGATACCGTGGACCTGCTGATTGCGCCGGGGCAGTCGGGGAATGCGGGTCCCCACTCGGCGTGAGGCCCGTCCCCGCTACCCGACAGACCCGGCTATGGATCTAGTTCTCTAGTCAGCCAGTAGTCGTTGCGTCCGGCGAGATGGTGAGGATTACGATGGAGTCCCCAAACGGATCCGTTACCAACAAATGGATCTCCTGGGTGTCTCGCGGCCCAGTTGACCTATCTCGCTAGCAGCTCCGCTGCTCCTTAGGGATCTCTTAGCCCGGCTACTATGCCAGTAGCTTTCGAAGCCGGCTCTTTCCAAGAGCGTTCCAGAAGGATGAAGGACGTTCGTGGAATCGACGAAGAAGGAGATCAGGAGACAAAAATGTCGCAATTACCTTCTCTAGGCAAAGAAGCTCATCGTGAGCGGCACCCCCGTCGGCTTTGCCGCTGGAGTTAACCGTTGGAACGGAATAACTATGGGTAATAATATTGAGAGTGGCTCTCTATCGTCGACGGACTACGGAACGCCATGGAGGATCAACAAAGAATTCCCTGCAGGTAAAGCCGACTAAAGACCTTCTGGAACGCCACTAAGGATTCCACATTATTAATTCTCAATTGCCCCAGTCCATGACCTTCTTCGGGGGGGGGTGATCAAAAGTACCTACGAGCTTAGGCAGGTACAGGATGTGCTTGCATCAGGATGTGCGTTCTCCAGATGGATACCTCTGCCCAGTTTCTGCTCTTACTCACATGGGTGCCACCTTTCAGTGGGTGCGCTGTGTCTACTCGACTGTGTACAGACCCTCCTGTTGATCAGTTCCATCTAGCAAAGACAAATTTCATCAAGGCTGGCCAATCCTGATGTGAGTCGGGCTTGTGTTGATCCTGACGAAACATGATTGCTGGATTAGCCGGCTGGACTTGCAGTAGTCTCAGGGTGTCTGCATTCCCGCATGCCAGATCTACTCTTTTCCCTCTTTTTGGCTCCCATTTTCCAATTTCTCCGACGCGGTGTGCAGAAAGCTGTGTAGATCGATGAGGATCCTACTAGGATATCGGAGTACTGTGTAGAAAGTCCGATGAGAATGTAATCTCGCTTCAGATATGATGCATCTCGGTCAGCCTATGAAGTGGCGGGGAAGGCAAGTATACCAGCTGAATGGACTGACTTTTCAGTACACTTCATTCAAGTGTTCATAATTCCTTTTCTTCCCCTCATCTTTGGGATCTGTGCAGTTAGTGCATGCTACGTCATTGTGCTCGGCTTCATTTTCACATTGGTTAACATACTTCGTAGTGATTCGTGACTTCAAGGCACTTTCAGCTGAAGCCCAGTAGTGAGGTAGCCAGGAGAGTAACAATATCTGCCCGCCGAGCTGATGAGAAACAAGCCACCAGCGATGCAAACGAGCACACAAAAGCGCCGAGAAATGCGTTTGACACTAAGCGGACCGTTTGCAAGACATTTCATCTTAGGCCAACGTCTAGCTATCTGTATGACACTATCATGAGTATCAACCTCTGAGAGGCAGACGTGAGTTTCTGACCTGCCCAACGTGGAAAATGACGATTCCCAGTGCAAAATGAGGGGAACATGGCGTTTTCCATACTCAACAATACCATCAGCCTCAGGTATTGACTTCCTCTTCGGACGGAACTTACCACTCAGGCTTCATGATATTGTCATGAGCCACCAGCATTACCTTCCCCTTCACAAAGTGTCACGCGTCACTAACTGGTGGCTGGCGCCTAGATGCTCATCGAATACCTTCGCAGGCAGTTTCCACCGTCTTCATTCACCCTCTCACTAACACTGTTCACTGGAGCTTACGTTGCCTGGGCAGGAAGGATGCCATATTGATAAATTCTGCTGAGAGCCTATAAAGTCACCTGGAAACTGTTTCCTCTGTTTATCCTTCGTTCCATCTCGCGTCTTTGACATCGTGGCTGGTATCTTGCTGATCTGAGGCAACTTCATCATCGTCCTACTGATAGTCGTTCCCCCCGGATAGCTTTCACCATGGGGCCATCCAGACGAGCCAACGTGATTCCAAACGCCTTTGCCGGTGGCTATAGCCAGACTGTCAAGAATCGGTCAGTCTTCTGCTAGATACGCTTCAGATCGGTCTGGCTGACTATACTATAGGCTTGACAAGGTTGTCTTCCCGGATAGGTATGTCTACTACTACTTCACTCTATACTGCATGGGATATCATTCTGTTCTACGGCTGACGCGAGCTTAGAATCAAGTGCGGAACCTGCAAGAAGTTTCGGTACATCGGCACTTTTTCTAACAGACAGTTGGACATCCTACGCCATGCGGTCGTGGCTGATGGAGTTTCGCTTGTTACCAGCGGAATTGCCAGATGCAGACAGTGCACCGGTCCAGGCAATACTGAATTGAAATGCTCCCAGTGTGACCGTGTTAAGTCGATTGAAGAGTTCGCAAAGAACCAGCGACAGGAGCGTGATAGTGCGGTATGTTTCCCCAGTTTAGTCGCGGTGGATTTCAGCTGGGCTAATCTCAGGACAGCGATGCATGAACTGTGTCCAGAAGCATACGGAGACTGAACCCTTGATTGATGAAATGAAGCAGATCACCGGAGGCGATGATACTACTGCTAGCTCTGTTACTGTTGGGAATCCCCCATGATCTCTACTTCTATATCATCTATATTTTAGTTGGGATGTACTGACAAGCTCGAAGAGTCAGGCAGGCAGTAGCTCGATGGCTGTCTCGTTCAAGCGGCTCCAGCTGACCGGTGCTCATGAAGGATCTGGATACAGTGACGATGAGGATGACGATGACGATTTGTCCGTTGGCGGTGGTGTCTTCCTGGAACCTGGACACACCGACGAGAACAGCAGCACCAATAAGGGCAAAGAGAGAGTCTTCACCGGCTACGATCCCCAGGGAAACCCCCATGTACTCACTCACCGTGCGGAGGCCACCCAGTCCTACGAGAGCGAATGGTCTGTCTGGGGAGTCAAGAGCAAGGCTACTAGAAGTGAGGCCGGTCCCGCCAGAGCAACGCCGAAGAAGGAGTCCAAGTTCGCGAAGATTCCGGTAAGTGCAAATGACTTTGCATATCTACGGAGTGTCGATGTTAATGACGAGTGATTCCGCGCAGCGTACCATCTATGAGAAGGGTGAACTGCCGAGCATGGCCATTCCCGACGCCAGCGGTGCGAATATTCCTTCTGACGACGAGGACGAAGAGAATGATTTGGACGGCTTTCTGTGAGCACACTTGATATCCCAGGGCAGAACTCAGGTGTAACAGTGATTGTGATCGTACTGAGACTGAAGTTATTGGGATTATCGAGATGACTGGAAAGCTGTGAAAATCCATATGAATTTCTTCTGTCCTCCAATTCGGGCTACTGTTCTAATTCCTCTATTCGGCTAACCAATCTTGCTTTTCTGAGATGGTGTGACAAATGTACTGTGGCAGCCGGAAGCGATGGGTCACTGCTAGGAGGAGGCGCAATAGTGGCTGTTTTTCCAATGGTGGTCCCATTGCTGTTACTATTCGGTTGTTGTATCCTTTGTAGTGCCAATTGAAGAATATGGACGGTTCCACCTTTATCAACCATGGATGAAGCGATCTTGGTTTCTACTACCAAGTAAGCTGGTTCCCGCCCAGGAACCAGAGACTGCCGACCCGCTGGGTCTATAGTAGTGGTGTCTTTATATAGCGGGTTAGGGAAGCATTGGGAATGGCTGTAGAGCTTCGCTAGGTTGACAATTCGCCACCATGGTCATTTTAAGAAGTCGGTTCTGTAATTGCCATTGACGAATGGTAATTCTGATGAAATTGTTGAAGGTCACCCAAGGGGGTGGCCGAGAGAGAAGAAGCGAAGGCGAAATGATTCCATTCCGTCTCCCAAATGGGATCCCCGCAGCCCGCTGGCCATGACGTAGGCGGCCATCCGGTCTTTTCTTTCCAGTGTAGACAACTCTGTCAAGTGTCAACATCTTTTTTTAGTTGTCATCTGCCTTTTTCTTCTTTGTCTTTCGATTTTCTGTTCCTTTCTGCATCAGACACGCGACGACCCACTCAAGCTGTCAGAGTTCAGTTCTATTTTCTGTTTTGTTGCCAGACCTAGCCCACTTCGCTACACACTGAGTGTATCCCGTTGGTTTCAGCATCCGTCGCCCCTCTTCCTGCCCCGTCTTTATTTTCTACTTCTTTCCCTCTGTTCTGGTACAGACCAGTCGGTCCGTTGCCACACGATTGTCGCACCTCTGCTTCCATTTGCTTTGGCATTTCTGTCCTTGGCTCTCCCTATAGCCTTTTACTGCACCAGCTCGTTACCTCACTCACAAGGCTGCTCTGGTGATTACCTTGCGCTCGTGATCACGCAGGGCAGACAACACTGACCGGCGTCGTGCGCCCCGGCACCCGGCGCAATGGCTTACAACAGCTTCCCCAACAGTCCTTCTTACTCGCAGTTTGGAAGCATGAACCATGCCAATCCAACTGAAAATGGCGCATCACCTTACACTCCTCCGTACCCTGCACAATATGGGCCGGAGCAGGTGAATATGCCTCAGCCTCAAGTTCCTCCTACCTCCGCTTCTCCGACAGGTTACTATCCGAAACCTTCCTACGAGCCAGCTCCATGGCAGCAACAGCAGCATCAGCAGCAGCCACCACCTCCTCCTTCAGGGAGGATCAACGAGGCTGTGAATTCGGCCTTTCGCCAGGCTGACTCTCCAGCCTATTTGTCTCCAGAGGTGGTCTCTCAGATAACTGCGACGGTGATACAACAGCTGAAAGCGACGGGGTTGGACAATTTGCAAAATGATCAACAGCCGTCACCACCACCGCCGCCGCAATGGAGTCATCCAGCTACAGCCGCCATGTATGGTGAACCGTCTCATTCGCCTAGGCCGCAGAATACCCCTCCACCACCGCCTAAGATTCCACAGGGTAACCCGGAATACCAAGCACCTGTGCCGCCTGTGCATCCCAGCAGCCCTCATTTATTCTCCGGACCATCCGTGGGGCAGCCGGGTGAAAGACGCGGATCGCCGACAAGCCAGAGTCAGGTCAGCGACCATCACCAGAGCATGGAGTCCCGACCAAAGCCGCCATCGAGGGAAGCTACGGTAACTGAAATGACAACGTTGGACAAAGTATGGGGCAAGTTCTTCGAGGACGGGAAGCCTACAGAAAAGCTCAGCATGCTATTGCGCGGCATCGCAGTCCACCTTGTAAGTGCAGTCCGCAACTGGTGTGTTCTGGAGGCTAACGAATTTGCTGGGCAGATCGAGAATTACCCGCCAGAGAACACACTCGTCGTAGTTCCTGAGAAGATGAAACAGTTCTATGCAGATACAAGTGTGTCGTCTGATCCATACCCTTGGGAAGGTCGGTTCTTTTGAACTTCTGTAATGGAGCGATTGTTGCTGACCTATGACTAGACATCTTTGACGACCGTACATCCCAGATCTCGAGGTTGCTGCGAAGGCTTGAAGTGGAACATCATCTCGTACAACATAAACTCCATGAGAGGCCTGATATCCCGGGCCTGACTCCTCGTGGTTTTGCTCGCTGGGCTACCTTAATGATTCAGGCCCATCCTGAGAAAGAGTACGAGCGCTTCCAGAAAGCGCTGTTGAACATGCCCATCAACAACCCCGACAACAGGAGCGAGAGACTGCCCAAGGAGTTCTCAAGGCGCTTGTTCCCCGATGCCCCAGACCTTTCGTTGAGGGAAGAGATCGATCAGAAAATCATGGAATTTTGCAACGTCGACTTGCCGCCCATCACCGAGGATGAGCTGAAAAAGGTTGCCGCACAGCGTCACAAGAAGTCTGCACACAAGGCATCAGTGAGCTCCGTCGACTCAACCGCTTCAATGGGAGAGCGTGAGCGTCAACCCTACTATAGCACATCATCTTCTGCCATTGTCGATGATGAGGACAAAGAGGTCCCATCGCGGCCCATTGAACGGGAGAGAAAGCCCTACACTGCGCATCCTGGAGGTGGTAAAGTGTACGAAGATAAAGCACCCAGCCATCGCCATGCGAACTCGATGTCTGCAGGATCTGGCTCTAAAGATAGCCCGATCGAGATCGGACCCCGGATGTCAGAGACGCACCTCCACACCGGGACTTCACGACCCACAACTACGTTCGGACGATCTCGCAGTCCGTCACGGGGTGCTCATACAGGCGGCGACTACAGACACTCCGAAAGCGACCTATTAGGCCATGGTAGTGGCTCTCGATACGGAGGGTTGTCGGACAATGACTACTACTACCCCTCAACCACGTCTGCCCTCCCAGGAGACATCGACGACAGTCGCAAATACCACAACCTTAGCCCCGACCATGGCGATAGGCGACTATACGATGCCCTGCGGAATCGAGACAGCGAACGAGAAAAGATCAAGCGCAGCAGCTGGGGCGGCGACGAGGATTACTATCGCGCGGCCACCGGCTACGACTATAAACCGTATGGGTATAGGTGATATTGATATGCTGACCGTGTTTGACCATTAATATTTATCGTTCTGGCGCGCTTTTTGTAAGAAAAGAGATATCCGTTTATGAGTTATGACTTATGATAGCGTTCATTATTACTCTTGGCTTCTTACGTCTTATGTTTAGCCACTCTGACTTTTTCCTTTCTGAAAGTGTACCACGAACTTCCCTCAGTATTTGAACCTTGGCTCCTTTTCTTCCCTTCCTTTTCTTAATAAAATGTATAATATCACTAATACCACACCTTTCGGAATCGCACACACATCATCCACCCCCATCCACCCTCTTCACCCTCCTCCCCTCAATAACACCCATAACCCTGCCCCCCTCAACCCTACAAACCTCCGCCTCCCTCTCCCTCCCCCTCTCCTCCCTCTCCCACATCTTCCAAATCCTCCTCCTCTTCCTCCGTCTCCCCCTCTCCTCCTCCACATCAACACCAACACCCCCATCCTCCCCTTCCACTTCCACTTCCACCTCCCCCCTCAACCTCTCCACCTCCTCCCTCCCCAACCGCCACGGCACATCCAACACCTCCACCAAACACCGCGACCGCTGATCCACGAACCGCATCTCAGCGTTCGTGTCCCGCACAGGGAATACCCGCTCGAGCTGCAGCTGGTTCACGCCGCGGAAGGTGATCACCGTGCCTTTCACGTGCGCGAGCGTGCCCGGTGTATAGGGGCTTATGTCCAACGGGAGAGCGGTTGTAGGGGATATGTGTGTGTGCATTCCAGATGGTGGTGGTATCATGGATGTGAGTGTGGGAATTGTAGCGCTGACTTTCTGAACTACCACGTCGAGCGTCGCACCGCTGCTATCGTCGAGCGTGAGGATCGTGACCGTTGGTAGATCCGTTCGAGAGGTTATCATTCCTAAAAGGGAGATGTATTGAATGGGATGGTTTTTGTGGAAGTAGGTTTTGGGGTCTGTATCTCATTTCGTGAGTTTGATGGATGTATAGGGGGGGATGAAGATAAAATATAGTATGGTATTGTGCTATATGCACCAAGGCATGTATGTAGACGATAGAGAGTGGGGAGAAATGGATTGGGATATACCTGGAAACTCCGGTCTTCTTCTCAATCGCAGTACATCCACCGCGGCCATCTTCACCCAGGTGAAGTGGGTTGGGGACGCCTTGAAACAATACGCTGGGTAGAATTCAAGGGCGTCATGGTTTTGTGCTGTCGCCATGCCATGGGAGTGGGGGCATTTTCATGGTTGGGGTTGGGTTTGGGTTTGGGTCATTGGGTTTTTGTGTTGGGGGTAATATAGAGAGATTGAGAGAGGAGGGGAGGTGATGGTGGTGTTTGTTGATTTGAGTAATGATGGGGGTGGTGCAGTGGTGAGGGGAAACCGGCAGTAGCTTTGTTATCGGTCACGTGGGATGAGGGTCATGTGGTGATAAGGGGGGATAGATGAATGGGAATGTTCATTTATACTTCCTGTTATTTGGACTTTCTTTACATCCTTTGTTGGGTACTTGGTCATAGTGGGTTGCTGTTTACTGATTTATTCAGTGAAGTAAGTAATACTAGTTCTGGAGAGAGGTTATTGAGGGGTTGAAGATATCATTGTGAAGGATTCCTTTATAGATAGGATGGAAGTATATATCATGTGGCGCATCTTCACATTGCTCCAAGCTGTAAAGATGACGGCGAAGTTCCGATAGATGAGTATGAAGAAGGCTAAGGAAATGACGAATATATTGCATGAGAGTTGATGTCGTGATTTTGGGCAGAAATGGAAGAGAAGAGCAGTAAAGGTATGAAAGAATGCCTATCACCCTAACTCGTGAATGAAGCCTGACGTGCTAATTGAATATTGCGACAGCAATATATGAATACGAGCACCATCCTACCTTCCTGACAAACTAGATGACTCCCTGTGTCCATCAGCCTCCTCACTGATTCCAGGAATGGCCATTGACTCGTTAAACTCATCCGCCATGACCAATGCAGCTTGTCCTCAAATTCCTAACGCCCCAGTTCGCATCTTGGCTTCAGGAAAGTGCACCTTCATTCTTACAGCAGGCCGACTTAAATTCTATTGTCCGTGCGACAAAGGGACATTTCATCTAAGTTCGGTCGATCCTGACGAGAAGTGTGAGCGGTGCGAACACACTCTCAATTATCATGAAGATGCTGTGTCGTCCGCAGTCCCTCAAAATACCGAGCAAGGTTGGTACCTCTTTCCACCATCTCATGCTATGCTTATCATATATCAGTGATTCCAGATGAAGACAGAAATGAGACCCAATATGGCTGGATAGGTTCGATCTCATCCACAAATTCATATCTCAAGACTGACAATAGCGATAGAGGATGATCCGTATATATGCCCTAGACAGGACACGGTGACTGAGCTAATAAAGCTCATCGATGCCTATCCCGTTATCCTCGTTAGAGGAACTCCTGCCAGCGGGAAAACAACGTTAGCACGATTACTTCGAAGTCGTTTGCAGGAACAAGGACACATTGTCCCATTCTTTTACACTTGGAAGCAAGACCTTATCAAACTCGACCCAGAGCTATGGGTGGCACTTGCTAAGGCGTTCAAACAACGTCTTCCACGGAGTCAGATCCCAAACCTCATGAACGATGAGGTCGTTATGATTGTGGATGAGGCCCAAGGGTCATACGATGATGATTACCTGTGGAACCATATAATAAAGTTATTGATAGACAAGCCTCGCAGATATAAACTACGCATTTGTCTCTTCTGCTACTTTGGAAGTCCATCAACGGGTGTGGAACCACCTCAGGGTCTCCATTATAGTCCAGCCATTATACCCGAAAGACAAAGCATAACACTCACGCCCCAATCGTGTAGTGAATCACCGAAAATTGGCCTCTTCTATACTGAGTCAGAGTTCGATGATGTCCTTTGCCGAATTTTCCGATACGATTTCCCCAACTGGAGAGTTACCATTGATGATGAAGCTAAGAAATATCTGTTCTTTCTCACTTACGAATGGGCACCCCGGAGGCGTAGCGGCGATGATACGGTTCGTTTGTGAGGTATGTTCCATATTTCGCTTCTATTGGTGTTTGTGGTTGATTTTGTCTATGTTCGTTGTAACCTGAATGGCTAATTTTGCGGTAGACCTACTGCGCCGACATGAAACATGACAGGATGTTTGTGATAACCCGGCAGCATGTCCTCAACATCCTCGACGGTGATGAGGAATATGCCTTTGCCTTCGTCCTGAGATGCGGCGTGTCTCGCTCTTTCACTAAACGAATAGACCTCAAAGATCCAGTTCGCGAAATACTCTGCGAGATTACAGAGAAGGGGAATATCAATTGGGAACAGAGACCAGGGTTGGAGGAATGCTATGAAAGAGGCTGGATCCACAGGATGCATACGGGTCCAGAAGGGAACTCAGACCAATATGAAATTGCTGTCCTGCCGTCCCGCCTGCATGAGAAGTAAGTATCGTCATACATATCTACTGTTGCGTATACTAAGTAGAACCTTAGATGGCTTCAGTACCTCATTAGCCAAGACAAAAGAGCCTTACCGCCGCGCTTCACCAACTTGACTCAGCTGTGTATGGAAATTCTACATGAGTTTTCAAGTATGAACCTGAAGCCTCCTACCACCGACAGGAGATTATCCACCGCAGCACAACCTAGACCCGTTGAAACGCAATACCAAGATGAGTTCTACAGGGCGTTTTGCAAAGTAGCTGGCCGAGGGGTGCCAATTTCCACGGAATGGGCTAGGACGGCATCCGGAAGAGCTGACTTTTTCATACCAGAGAAGAAGTGGGCAGTGGAACTGGTGAGAAATCATGATAGAATTGATGATCATGTGAAGAGGTTTCAGAAGGGAGGACAGTACTTTGAATGGTTGCAGAAGAAAGCCGTTGAAGATTGGATTGTCATCAATTGCGCTACCAGTGTACCAAATTCAGGTTCGTTTCTTGTTCTGGCATTATGTTGTATCTTGCTGACCACTTTATAGATTATGAAGAATGTCGACTTTTCCACGCTGTCTTTTTCAATGACTTCACGGAGGTACAGATTCTCGATCACAAAAGGCAGCCCTTGAGCGATGTTGTCTGTCTAACGAAGTGATGGAGTATGATTACTCTGTAGATCTTATTTGGTGGTTGAGGGGGATTACAATGGGAAAGAAATCCTGTCGGACTTTATTCTAGTTAGCAGATTACAATATATCATGTCTGTGGTCTGGTTAGGAGAAATAGGCGGCACCCAACTTCAGTCCTATATTGCAGATTGGATACAGACATGGGGACTAATACTGTGTGAAACAACTGCTGCATTACCAACGGCCTCTTTGCTACCTGCTAGAAGCTGAGCGCACAACAGCACTTCATTCAAGTCGGGTCCAAATCAATAGTACTATTTCCCCAAACCAACATATATATCTTACAAATTCCACCCAAATTCAATCCACGCCAAAAACACCCGTAAACATACACATACACATACACACACACACACACATATAGTACTCCATAGACCATCCATCAAAATCACTCCTCCTTCCTCCTCTCACCCCCAATGACCCAATTATTCAAAATCCCCACCCCAGCATTCAAATACGTCGCCACCCCCAACCAAGCCGCATACGGCGTCATCAACCAAAAAGCCACCCGGTCATGCTTCCACCAGATATGCATCAACGCCGCCACATTCCCACTCAGAAGCAGCAGATCTGCCAACGCCCACGCCGGCTTCCGGAACATGAAGAACAGCGGCATCCAGAGATGATTCAACGCCAGTTGAGAGATGTATAGTGTTTGGGACTTGACGGTCCAGTCTTGGACTATTGATGATGACGATATTGAAGGGGGGTATACGCTGGCTATGGTCCCTGATACTGTTGCGTGGTGGATGGCGAAACCCATCATGCCGTACAGGACGGTCCAGACGACGGGGAAGGCCCAGGTTGGTGGGTAGAGAGGGGGTTTTTTGAGCGAGTGGTAGGTTTGTTTGGTGCGTCCTTTGCCTGGGGTTGCTTTTAGTATTTGTTTGTGTAGTCTATTCAAAGGGGAGAGGTATGGGGATGGGGGAAGAAGCTCACGGTTGGTTTGGTACCCGATTAGAGAACCCGTCGCGATGGGCGTCACGATGGAGACTAGAGGGTGGGCGAACATCGCCTGAGGGAGTGCGGCGGACCAGGGCATGGTTGGTTGTTTCTTCAGCTTCGGCTTGGATTATAGAATAAATGAAGAGGATCTGAAGTCTGAGTGTGGGGTTGTCATGTATTTATTTATTCCTCTGGATCGATCGATCGCGGAAGCTGGAAGTGGTCGACGTCATCCGCATCCGACCAAGGAATGTAAGTAGGATCGCGTGGTATAGATAGCCGACTGTCTTTATTGGGGTGGGTTTATACTGGGGATATGAACTGCTCCACTGGAAATAGTATTTACTAGGCGATAAGTTGAAGATTGATCATGTAAATACTTTATTTTCTCAATGCTTGTTAATCACTCGGTTTTCCCCGCATTTGGTGAACCACGGCGTGTGGAGAAGCTTATCACATGCAGGAGATGATATAGGGCTTGTCTACATTTGATTGAGAGATGAATGAAGATCTGTGGAGCATTGTCCACGTTAGAAATATGGAGTAGTCTATGTCTGTCATCTCTTCAGGAAAGAGTCTGGCAAAGTAGTGAGCCTTGCATGTTGATTCCGCAGCGCTTGGCTCTGAAGTGATTGATAGAGCAGGTATGCAACGCGACATCTGTGATACGTCCGTGAACTTATGTAGGTGTTTTCTAGGAAGCTTGCTGATGCTTTGATGGTGCAGTATATACAGCAGAAGTATTGAAGCATTTTGACCCTTTTGCAGTGCTCATGAAATGACACAGCAAAGCTCCAAGGAACCAATGTAAAACACCATGCACCTGCAATGTCTTGAAAGAGTGAAAGCTCATGCTATATGGCGACGGGAACTATTTCTCTGAAATCTCAGTATTGTTGTTTTCTTTTCACTGCAGACTTCCGGTTGGATAATTTCAGGCACTTGCAGGAAGATGTGCCGCTAATAGGGCTTGCGTCAGATGAATGCAGTAGAACATATAAACTAACAAACATTGCTATGACCAAGCACATGACTAGACCTGTCCAAACAAATAATACATGAAAAGAGAACAAAGGCTAATATACAATGCTTGACGATGTCGACGTAATGCCTCTAACTATAAAGTCTCCAGATGACGCCCTCACCAAATCCCCAACCACTTCTTGACAGGCCGCTTGTTACCCTCCCAATCAACATACACATTCTTATCATCCTCACCCTGCTGCTCCTTAGCCACAGGAGACTGGTCATCCACAGCCACCTCCCCCTTTCCATCAACACCAGCAGCATCCTTCTCATTAGGCTCCTCCAACCCATGAGCAACCCGATACTGCCGTCTCTTCTCAGCATCGTCCACCCGTCTGCGACGCTTCTCCCTCGTCTCGATCGAGTTGTGCTGCACATGCATCCGAAACACCGAGATGGCCTGCCGAACAGTATCAATGGGGTGCGACAGCAGCGCGGACCACGGCGGCAGCAAATGAGCGAATGGCGACGAGTGCTTGAAGTTCGTGGTAAATGTGAAAGTAGCCAGGGAGGTCAGTACACCCTACACATATCACATAGAACGTTAGTAAACCCATACCACTCGTATATCGTTATGCAATCGAACAAATAAACAAGGAGCAATGTCTCACCATCGCAATCCAAATATGAATCCACCGATTCGTCAAGAACTTGTGCATGACTGTCCCCTCAGGCGGGAACATGTTCGGGTACTGCCTGTTCTTCTGCTCTTCCTTTTCCTTCTCGCTGAGCTTCGGCCCCGGGTAGTTGATGGGACCGCTGTTGACAACCTTCCCATTGCGGGTTTGGACGACCCGGCGCGCGGGGTGAGATGGAGGACGGAACTTGTCGGGCTTAGACAGCACGCGGGGTTTGCTGTCATCGGAGGCGCATCGCTGGGTGGTGCTGCTGGTGATGCGATAGGTGGTTCGCCGGCTGAAGGCGCGGAGGCTGAGCGGGGAGGGAGCGCCCCGGGGGAGGAGGAATTGGGGGATTGTGACGGGCGGCATTGTGTGTAGAGCAAGGTAGGTGGAGGCTGACTGGTGAGGTGCACCGCAGATGAAAGCTGGAGTTGGCTGCTGGGAAATGCCTGGCCTGTTGGTGTTGCGGCGCGGGTATTTTTTTCCTGGCGCTGCGGAGGATATACGGATCACGTGATAATGATTTCGTTGAGTCTACGCAGTGCTACTGCTGAAGATTGAATAAGGATTACTGTGAAAGATACCAATCACATATGTTGTGTATCTGACAAATGTATGGCTGCTAATGAAATCTTTCTATGTGCATGTGCATGTGCTTGCAATAAACCAAGTGTATACGGTTCCTGGTGCCTGTTGAGGCTGTTCCCTCTGCCTCAGGCCACCTCGGGATTGTCCCCGGCGGAGCGGAACAACACGAATCCCCATGACAAGTCGGCCAAACTCGGAGGACAAATGATGGCGCGCGAATTTCCAACACCTGGGCTTTGCGGGACCAGAAACAGTTCAATTGCGGTGGCCCAACTCCGTATCTTCTCCGGGTCTTCTCCGTAGTTACCGCCCTATGTTTGTGTGTGTTACGTAGGGAACTGGGCCACCATGACGGAGGCACAAATATGAACAGAGGATGAGATCATTCGGACGCGCTACGTCAGTCGCCGGCAGAAAAGCCGCTATATGCTCGGAAGGGATTCAGCGAGTATCATCTCCTATTGTAGAGTAGTGTAGGGACTCAAAAAAAAAAGCATGAAGTCTCAAGCCTGGCATGCACAGGGGTCAATTGACCAGAACTCGGTCAGATCGATCTGGGTAAATGGAGACAATTCTTGGAAAACATGGAGCATGGCTCAAAAAAGACACCGGCATCTTGTCCCGGAAGCGCCCGTTGTGCTGAATCATCTCATCCCTGATTGGTCGCAACCCGGATCACGGGAGGCGTTGGGGGCAAAGGCTGGCCGCTCTTGTACAAATTGATCGCAAGTTTTTCTTCCCTCGTCCGATTTCTCTCCTCCATCGCTTCTATTTTCCCCAGGATATCCTCCGCAAGACCAATTCCTTTGTATATTACTCTTACACCTTTTAATACCCTTTAAATCCCTTCACACACATTCAAAATGGGCAAGGACGCTTCTTTCGCTCCCGGTAAGCTGATGCAGTTTTCCTTGTTTTGGCCGCTCCTTGTCTTCGGAGGCTCTTCATTCACTGGTGCTTTCAAACACTGCATTCACCCAATGCCGTGATGGTTTCCCGCTTTATGATGGCTGTTGCTGGCGCTCGAAACTTCTGCCTGTTGTAACTCGATTCATCGCGTGTGCTGTTGCTTTTGCTCTACCTTTTCGCAAACCGCACGCTTTCATCCGTTAAACAACGCAACGCTACGTCGGAAGACAAAGTCGATATCCTAATCACAGCATAAGTCGAGCGTCACACCTGTCATCATGAGCTGGGATGCCTATGTTCTACCTTGCTGGATCCAACGTCGCGAGGAAATGGCAGAAAGGGAAAAGAGAGAGGCCGAGGCGGCAGAGAAAGCCAAACAACAGCTCGCTAATATCGACTTCGATTCAGGTGACTCCGCCAAGGGTGCCAAGCTCTTCCAGGTGAGTTGTGATTGCTCTGCGTCGCAAGTCGACATCTTCTCGAACAGGATAGTGTACTAACATCGCATCCAGACTCGTTGCGCTCAGTGCCACACCGTTGAGGCTAACGGTGGCCACAAGGTCGGCCCCAACTTGCACGGTCTCTTCGGCCGTAAGACCGGTTCTTCCGAGGGCTACGCCTACACCGACGCCAACAAGCAGGCTGGTGTCACCTGGGATGAGAACACTCTGGTATGCTCCGCTCACCACATCGCACATTGTATAGAAGAATTGTGGCTAATGCTGTCTGTAGTTCTCCTACCTCGAGAACCCCAAGAAGTTCATCCCCGGTACCAAGATGGCCTTCGGTGGTCTCAAGAAGGGCAAGGAGAGGAACGACCTCATCACGTATGTGCCGTCCCGAACGATCAGAATTGGCGAAACGCAGAGCGCTGACAATTGTACCTTTACAGTTACCTCAAGGAGAGCACCGCTTAAATCACCTCACCGTCATGAACCTTTCTAGAACCCGCCTGCCGAACATTGCCGGCTCATCCGCGCTGGAAACAGGCGGTGAGTCGGCAACCCGACAGTCAGGGACTGTAACATTACCACGCCCTTGTTTACCCGCGATAGACCTTTGGCGTTGCTGCGTTGGAAAGATACAGATACAATAGAGTCCTGTTTCCTTCCGCGAGCGCTGTCTACATATTCCCTTCTTGTTCTCCTTTTTTTTACCCTCCGTCTCCTATGTGTCCTCTACGAATGTGTTTCCTTCCAGCTCTTGTGTGTATCATGGTTTTAAAAACAATTTGGTTGCTTGAGACCATAATGAATTGAAGAGATCTCCTCTCACATGACAACAAACAAAACAATATGCTTTTACACAGTATCAGTATGCTTAAGTGATTGCTTAAGTGATTGCCTAGACCACCTAACTAGGCCGCTTCCCTTTTCTGCCTGACGGACCGATGGCCGTGCGCTGAACCCCCGTCCCGAGTTTCAGATGTATCACGTGCAGCCCATGCTGGCCGGGGATTCGTCCTGCGCGACTCCGCGACCACGTATGTGCTGCAGAGAGGAGGGGACCCCTCGGGGGTTGGAAGTGAGTACGTACCTACGAGTCAGCGAGGAAAACAACGGTGGCCAACTGCACCGGCAATCTGGCGGATGATCCTTGCAGGGCCGTGGAGGGCAGCTCAGGATGGTCATTGGGCCCGGCCGTTGGGCCAGTTGTCAGCCAGCCATTGATAGGTAGGTTCATGGTCCCGAGAAGGTACCGTTCCTCTAGTAAAATGACCTTAGAGCCAACCAGGTAGCTGCTCGATCGGAGGGTAAATACTACTACGGTCCTGAAGGAGGGGGGGGGGGGGGGGCAGAGAGGAGGGGAAGAGAAGAAATCACTGCAGTCTCCCATGGTGGGACTTGACTTGAACTGATGGAAGTGAATTTCTATCGGGCTCGATTGCGAACTACGGAAGCGATCGGTACAGTGATAGGTAGGTTCGAGGAACCTTTTCGTGGAGTGGTCATGTGGTCGTGACTTAGGATGGATGGATGGATGGATGCGAGTCACGCCGATATGATGGTTGTCGAATGGTAGGTTATGTTGGTGGGCTTATAGTTTATCTAGCGGGGTGGGAGAAGAAATGCAGATAACTATCGATAAAGGGTGCAGGAAACTGCAGTATGTCTATCTGCTGGACTACGTGAGAGTCGTGAGGAAATTGTTCCGGATAAGAGATGAGATGAGATGTCTCAATAGCTTTGTGGAGTAGGTAGATGGTGGCCGGGGGTTGAGTCGATCTGGTGCGATGCGATGCGATGCGATCCAATGCGAAGTATAGTACTTTGTACGTAGGCAGTCACCCTGGTTGCTTGGTTATCGTCTGGAGGAAAAGGGATCGGTCTGTCGGTCAGGCCCTAGTCTGTCTGACGAAACGTCGTTGTGGAGTTCAGTTTGAACCCTGCGAAATCGACAAAGTACAAGGTAGAAGTCTAGTTCGGTCAGTAGTAGAGTAAGTAGTAGTTATGCGCGAGTGAGCCTAAGCATTAGCATCGGTGTTTTCTGGAGGGGAGCCGATGGGCCCGATAAAGATAGATGGGATACCACCAGGAGGCTTTTTCTTTTTTCTTTTTCTTCCCTCCACCAGATGGAATGTTCCTAATTTTCCACAGGAACGAGATCCATGAACCAAGGCACGTTCCCTATTTTTACGAGGACAATTCTTTCGAAAAAATATAGGAATGTTGCGACGGGAGGTTAAAGAAGTAAAAAGGACTTTGTCGACTGGGAGCGACCGGGACAGAGGAAAGTCTAGACAGAAAGGACAGACAGACTGGAGGCTACGATGGGCCTGTAGGGATGAGCATCCCATGATCCCACCTGACCCGTGGCGCAGCGATTCTTATTGGACCAGCCACCTAGCGGGGCCCCTCCATGGGTCGCTCTTTCCTTTTGATTGAAATAAAAACCCCAGCCGTGGAAGGCATGCGAGGGGCGGGCCGGTATTATCCTGTACCTTCTTGTACTTCCTGTACCTGAAGACTCCCATCTATTACCATCTATCTCCCATCAAATACATCAATCAATCCTATATATAAACTACCACCCGTATTATCATTGTTGTCTCATCCCTACTATCTAAACTAACGGCGCAAAACAGCTACTCCAATAAATCTCCTTCCCCCCTTCGAGGTGACCCCTCGTGTGGGTGCGTCCTCTGCAAGCGCCTCTTGTAACCCGTCGTGACTTGTCGCATTCCCGTTAGTCCGCTGGTCATTTCATGACATACAGACAGACCAGACAGACAGAAGAGTGCAAGCAAGAAAGAAATCTGGTTTAGCCAAACAGATCATCTCTTCTCTTCTGCATTCTGACTGATTCGACGGACTGGACCATCATTCATCTTGCTCTATCTACCTCCCCACTTCTCCCCCAGTTCTGTTTCGTCGGGCCGGCCTGATCGCTCGCCGTTGCTGGCCATTCCTCAGGCACCCAGGCTTTCCCCCCCGGGTTCTCGTCCCGCGTATCTTCTACTACTACATTACTACCCTCCCACCATCATTCAACCTTCCCATGTCTTGCTCTCCCTCCTCCCTGCTCTCTCTTGGATTCACTCGCAGGGACATCTATAACCATATACGCTGTAATCTTGACCCCTTTTTCTACCCTTCACCCCTGTCATCATCTACTCCTTCCCCTTCTCTCCCTTGGCGCATAGCTTCTATTCTCCCTTCCTTAACCGGATCTTAGCGCGCCCGCAACTAACCCTCGTTCTTCTATCACCTTGATAGCACCCACCCTCTGAAGTTGTTGTCTATTGCTGCGCAAGTCGTTCACGACGTCGCAGCGATCGAAAGTGGCCTTGACTTCTTTGGTGTTGCAGTGCGCAACGCCGTCTATCATGCTAGACGAGCTGGAAAGCGCCTTCGACGAACATCCTTCATTGGATGCGTCGCTCGAGGACTTCGAGAGCAATAGTAACGCTCGTCAATCCCCCGTTTTCGGTCTGCCTTCCCAGCATTCGGGCTTCCGCTCTGAGGAATCGGATGGGGAGGATGACGATCTCACGCCCAACGGAGATCGCTGGTCGCCTCCGGGCTTACGCAGGTATGACTATGTACAAGGAAGTGGTTGGTATCGCCATCAGCCCTACGTGCGCAATCCCGATTACGACCGTTTCTGCCTCAAGCCCTCGGTCGGACTGAGCCCGTCGCAATCGCGCGAGCCTAGTCCGCAGTATGAGGATGCGCCGGAGGCGCCGACCGCAGGGAAACGCAGCCAGTCCGCAGAGACAGCTGACATCACCATAGCCGCCAATGTCCCCCTGCCAGCCGACGCAGAGACCCCAGAGAAAGGTCGCTCGCCGAGCCCGGGACCCAAAGGTGCAAGAGCTAGCCCGGATGGCGAGGGTCTGGACTTTGGGTCGGGGAATAACCTCAGCAATTGTAGGCTTCACCTTGATTTGCTACCCTTTGCAGCTTCCTGGCCGGAATGAACTAATTCATGACGCCTCAAAGATATCCGGTTCGCTGTGCGCGCGGAAGTTCAGCACCGTGAGCCCTTTGTCGCATTCTTTAGTTACTTGCGGTCCAAACTCGATAAGATCACTAGCTCCAAATCCAACGCAATTCTTTCTGTAATCGTTGCTTTCATATCGATCGCGTTCATGCGCGCCTTATTCCTACCCAGCGTTCCCGAAGCGATACCCGATCTGGTCAAGCTGTCAGGGTTTGCGCGCTCGTTCGAGCCCCTCATCTATTATTCGGAGAATGGCGCGCATCAAATAACCGCCTTGCAGGAGACTGGGGTGGCTGTCTGGGACCTCGGAGAATCGGTGCGCGGGACCAATATGACCAGCGCGCCGATCATTGTCCGCCAACTGGACGAACTCTCCGAGTCGCTCAAGTCGCTCTCTCTGGAGTTGGCGCGCTTCTTCTCCGATGTTGAGGGGGACATTGACTCCATCCTGCTCGCCATGGACTGGGCCAAGCGTGAACTGGAGGCCTTATCGTCGCAACCGCCCAGTACGTTACCGTCGGTCGTCTTCGATAACCTCCACGGGATCTTTGCGCGACTGGGGGCGTTGGAGCGACTTAGCGCCGCGAGTGGGGAAGGGTCCAGCACTGAACTGACCAGCACCCCAACCACCTTTGGCAACTTCGTCACCGCGGTCTTCGGCCAAACCTCTGCCCAGCGTACCCGCACAACCCTCACTCGGACTTTTACCGAAATGCTCTCCGTACTAGAAGAGGCGATCAACAACGAGCTGACGCACTCAACGGCGCTGTTCGCGCTCTTTGAAGCGATCGACCGCCAATTTCTGAATCTTCAACGGACTGTAGTCCGCGAGTCGGATGTACAAGAACGCGAAGAGGGCGAGATGCTGGAGTCGCTGTGGACTAGGCTTATGGGAGCCAATGCTGCTGCGATTCGCAAATACGAAAAGAACAAGCGGCTGCTCGCCAATGTCCGTAGTCGCACTGTCACTAACAAGCACCTATTGGTGGACCACCGCGGCCGTCTACTAACTCTCAAGGTCAATCTGGAAACCCTGCGGCGCAAACTTGTCAGTCCGTTAGTTCGACGCAACGATTCGATGAGCTTCACGGGCATCGAGTCCAGTAGTCGTAGCAACGGTCGCATGCTGGGCCATGTTGAGGCTGTGATTGACGGACAAATCCGAGGACTCGAAGGCAGCTATGATTACCTTAAATCTGTTCGAGACAAACAGAAAGCCAAGACTCTAGAGTTTTACTACGGGTTCGGGCGGCGCTTGCCGCAGAACCCAGTATTAGCCGACGGGTCGGACGATCTGGGGACGGACGCGATTGACGGGGTGTGATGCAACAGAGTCGAGAGATCTTGCATGCATAGGCAGGCGTTCCTTGTCTTTCTGCTCCTTCTTTTGTCTCTGTACCTGCATCACGTGGACATGGCGTTGTCGATCTGATCCATTCGGAAACATTCGGTCTTGTGTGCTGTGCACATGGTG